CGCTTGGATTATCAAGAGAAAAAAAAGTAAAAATGTCAATAAACGATTACATCATCGAATAACTTTTATGCTTACCAATTTGGCCGGAGTAATTAAAGTGTTGTGTAAATTGAACCATTTATTTTAAATATATCGATGAATAAATAAATTAGATAAGAGATATTAAATTCTAATTCATTTTAAATATATAAATAAATAATTGTTCTTTATATTTACAAATTATAAAATTTCTGATTTTAAAAAATAAAATGGAGTATATTATCGTAATGGGAACTAAGATAATTATATGCTCTAAATAAATTAGATGAAGTAAATTAGATAAATATTGAGATCTTAAATAGCTTATTCTAAATTAATAAAAATAAAATGAAAAAAATTTAATATAAAGTTTTTTTTTCAATTATATCTAATTGTTCATTATACTTATACGTTTAACACAAATTCATTGCAGTATGGGTGTAATAATAGATTCAATGCACTGATTAATAAATAATCTTTAATACCTACTAAATTAATAAAAATTATGAATTAGATTCAAAAATTTAAATGTTAACTTCAAACATCAGATAAATAATTATTTATATTTATCTAACTGTAATAAATATTAAAAAACTAAATATAAATGTAGCACTATCAATCAAATGCCTTATATTTATATTTTAGAAATGACAACATAAGGTAATACGAATAATCCTTAACAACTCGATTTTTAGTATAATAGTTTTGTCTCTATATGATATGAACAGACAATTTTAATTCTTATTCCTAAAGCAATCGAACTCTAGACATAAAAATGTTAAATATTAGCAAGAAAGAAGTAGATGACACAAAAGAAATATTAGTCTTTGGGTCTTTAAATTTATGCCTTACTGGACTTTATTCTTGAAATTTCGATAGGTTAAGTCCAAAAGTTATAAATTTAAAGAGCCCAAAATCCAATTTTTCTTTAGCACTCCAAATATAAGAACTATCAACTAACAAGAAGTATAGTTAATGACGTTAATGCACACATAGTAGATGTTAGTTCAAAGTCTTGTCTCATGGAACATTAAAAAAAGAAGATAAATTAGTATAGATCTTTATTTGAAGTAAAATGAAAATACACAAATACAAAAAACATTACCGTGCTAAATTTGTCTTAGGCTATGCAAAGTTGATTTTTCATTTTGCATTACATGGATTTCAAAATTAGAGACAGGCAGACAAATTTTTTTTTTTTGTATTTTTTTTTTTTTAAAATTCAATTTACTGCAAATAAAATAATAATCACATTTAAGGTTATATTTGCACAACAAGGAATCAAAAAATTGGGCCAGCAGCTATATTTTTCCTATCATTCTTATCGTGCAATTCTGGGAAATTGAGGTCTCAATCGGGTAATACTGGATGAAAATAGTGAGAAAAAATAGATGTCAAAAATCGAATTGGCATAATTAAGATCTAAAAAAAAAAAAAAAAAAATTTTAAAAAAATTGAAAAATAGGACGGTGGGTAATGCTAAACGAAAAATCAACTTTGCGTGGCCTTAGCATAATACAATGCTTTAGAACAAGAAATCCCAATACAGTAACCTATAAAATAAAAAGAGCAATAGTAAATTATAAAAACTTCTTTTGTGTATTTAGCACATTATGCACATAAATTCGATATAGGTATGACTTTTACATGAATAAGCGTGAAATTTGTTCGAGACTCCACGTAGTTACAAGTTTTGTGAAAATTCAACATGTGTACATACGTGTGTTTGTTTTATATGCCATATTATTAATGTTCCAATTTTATTTACTTGTTATTTGGAACAAGCATACCTTCAATATGGTGGTATAATGTATTTATGCATAATAAATAAATAAATAGATAAAACCAAATAAAAACAATAAATTGCTTCATAATATTTGCGCATTGCGGCTTTGCCACAATGCTATAACTATGTAACCATATTATCAATATTACAACTTTTTATTTACCAGTAATTTGGAACAAGCATACCTTTAATATGGTGACATAGTATAAATTAGTAAAACCAAATAGAAACTATGCAAATTGCTGCATAAAATTATAGCTGACGGTTGAATTACTATAATATTTGCGCATTGCGACAAAGCCACAATGCTATAACTATGTGGCCATATTATCAATATTCCAACTTTTTATTTACTTGTAATTTGGAACAAGTATACCTTTAATATAGCGACATAGCATAAATTAGTGGGACCAAATGGAAACTATGCAAATTGCTGCGTATAGCTATCCCAGTCAAATTACCATAATATATACAAAGCTGCAATGCCACGATTCAATAATTTACCATCAACTATGCATTAAACTTGCGTAAAAGGATGAAATATACATATTCCTATTTTTATTAATGAAATAACAAAAGATAAGTAATTTTTTATAATTTTAAGTGCTATAAAAGGACTGATTTTTACCTTTAAAAATAATTAATACATTTCTTAAGTTAAAGAAAGTATCGAATCATTAATAGTTAAAGAAACAAACCTACAATTAAAAAAATCTTCAATTAGTATCCTATATTATGTGATTACTCAAAACATGAATAGTAGTAAATCATGTTCTTCGTGCAAGCACACTTCATTATCTCTAGAGGCATTTATTTTTGAAAACAGATCTTATAAGACATGCACCAATTGCTTAATTAAGAAATCAACAAGAAAGCAGAGAAACGATTTCTTCTATCTGATAATGACTCTAAAAGCACTAATATTAGAACAGAAAGTCAATTAGAAAACAATACAGATGAAATCGCCTTTATTAATATTATAAAATATGTTTCTAATAAAATTTTCAACCTTGAAGAAGACTCTGGAATTTCTTTTAACTTGCGCATTGAAATTGATGATAATACACTAACAAATGCACAACATGATACAAAACTCTTGGTAAAATTAATAGTAGACGAGATTAAAAAAGGTGACAAGTATAACTGGACGTAAGTAGTCTTTAATTTAAACTAAAAATTAAAAAAAACATAAAACACATTATAGTATCCCGAGAATATAGTCAAACCTCTTTATAGTAACCTTCTATAAAAGAATATAAGCACATTTTCTTTATAAATAAAAAACCATCTATTATTAAATATAATAAATTTTATCTTTATAATTAGCACACTTCTCAATAATCATGCCTTTTTGTATCCCGTGGGTGTGACTATAGAGAGGTTTGACTGCATCTCTAATTACAAGTAACTGTGGTATAATTTTTTTTTCTTTTATTAAAAGTCCAAATTATTTTTTTGTATTTGTAGATTTACAACCGGTTCTACTAACTCAGTGCGTCATTCCGGAGTTAGTAAATTTTATCTTGTGTGTTCTCAGTGTCGTGAATTAAAACGTAAGTATAAAGAATTGAATCATAAAAGGATAGACCGTTTCGATTGTCATGGCAAGCTAATTATTGGTGTAGATATAGCAGCAAAAGAAGCAAAAGTAAAGCTTAATCACAATATTCAATATAAAAAACCTGAAAATGTTACAACTCCAGAAGAAATAAAATGTAAAATTATACAAAACCTTCACATGGATCCAGTACAGCTAAGAACACATCTTCATCAAAGATTTGATGCTTTATAGGTTACTTCAAAACAGATTAATTATTAGTGGTCTACTTTTAATCAGCGATTCTTCAAGCTAGACAAAGATCCTTTTATTTCTACACATTGATTTTTAGATAATCCTAACAATAATAGTGAGTTTTGTTATGAGTGAAATAATGAATCAGTTATAGCAATTGGATTTATAACTTCATTATTAGCCAAACTCTTACCTGTGTCAAGCATCCATTGTGATGCGACATACAAAACCACCAAGGGGCGGTTTGAACTTTATAGAATAATTAGTAGCACACATGGAGCAGGATTTCCAGTTGTATATCTAATGCTGAATACTACAAATACAACTGATAATGCTCAAATGGGGCTAAGAACAAAGGCGCTTACTGGTTTTCTTCATTCTCTTTGCAATAAAGGATTGCAGCTATTACACTTCTTTACAGACAAAGACTTCGCTTAGATCAATACTGCAAAGGAAGTATGGCCTAATATTAATGTGCAACTTTGTCTGTGACACATTAAGAATGCAATAAGAGAAAAAATTAGAAGCAGTAAAAAAATAAATCAGACCCAATATCAGCCAAGTAAAGCAGTTGAAGAATTTAGTTTTATCAACCCCACCTTCAAGCCTAATTTAAATCGAACAGACTCTGAGTACTACAATATATGTCCAGTAAAACTACAAGATGAAGTTGTTAGCCTAATTAAAAAACATTTTAACATGCACCAAAAAATACCAGTCAATACTGCTAGGCAATTTTTAATAGCTGATAAAATTCGTATTAGTACAGTCCGTGAAATGTATGATTTCTGCTTCAAAAATGACCTTGTATTTCTTTGGGCATACCTGTAGTCTGGATGGTATAAGATTACAAGGTGGACACTGTGGGCTTGGTCAACACAAACAATTATTCCAATTAGTAAAACAAATATGTTGATAAAGTCACATTGGAGGGTTGTAAAGTGTTACTATCTTTACCGCTTCAACAGACCATGGTTTGATTATATTGTGTAGATTATTTGTATGTGTCTCCTTCCTAACCAACTAATTCGTCTTCATCAAGTGCACTATGGATGCATAACACCATTTTGGTTCGAAGATTTTAGAAAAGATTGGAATCGGCTCGCTGCAACACCGATTGATGATGATAATCATACCAGTTATTTTATTGATTCAGCATGTTAGATTTGCAGCTGTCCATCATTTCTTAATTCCCGCTTTCTTATTTGTAAGTATCTGGTCAAACGTGCAACAGTAATGGTAAAACTACAAAATCCACAAGGCATCTGACTTCTGTATCAAAACTTCCAACGAAGAGAAGATTATCCTTTTCTAGTTTGAAACACTAATGAACACATGCTAACAGAGGTTAGTACCCAGAACTCAATAGCTCCCCAGGTTGAATTTAATAATAATATAATCGAAATGGATAGAAAAGTTGAAATATTTGGTCCAAGATCAGGAAATAACTTGGTCGAAATAGGTGAAAACGATGAAGTATTTGATCCAAAAATTTGCTAGGCCTGTAAACAAAAAGTTGAAGCCATAAGATGCATGGCAGATCACCTTGAGCAAGAACTTGCTACAAATAATTTCAACCACATTACTCATGTGACCAACAATATGAATAGGTTGTTTACAATGTTGAATGATATTGAGACAGTGCAAAATAGAAGAAGGTATAATTTGATGTGGCGAGGATCAACCCCATGGATATTATATTTACAATAAAAAATTCAAAATATATAGTTAGAAAATATAAATTATAAAAAAAAATATATGTAAATTTTAAATTTTAATTACCTGTATCAATATGATAATATTGATTTTTATAATTAGTTGCTATTCAAAAAAATAAAAATAAAAATAAAAATAAAAAATTGAATAAAGAGCAAAGTTTTAAAATTAAACAAGAAACAAATTAAAATTTATAATCGAAGCATTTTCTTAATCTGTAATAATATAAATTAACTTATTTTTGTATAATAAATTTTACTTATCTGCAATTGTAAAGAAGTTCAGTTACTCATAAATAAAATAAAAGTTTCAATTAGAATAAACCAAAAATAAAACTCATCTTATTAGAAATATTTCTACATACTTTGATAAAACTTTTGAGTTTTGCAATTCATAAATAAATTTTTGTAATAAAAACCGTAAAATCTAGAAATAATAAAACAGTAAAGGCATAAATTTGTAAAAAATTTGTAATAAAAGCTATAAAATCTAGAAATAATAAAACTGTAAAGGTATAAAGTTGTAAAAAATATGTAATATAGTGTTTGTATGTATAAATCTTCTGTAATTACAAAAAAGCACACAAAGAATAATACAGTACCTACCGAATCAAAGCATCATTATAGTTATTTAATAATCGTTAGGTTCATATAATTGTCTAATATGTTTCTAAGAATCGCTCTAAGTATTTCAGGTTTTCTCCTCACATGAAATCCCTTGGGAACAAAGTAAGTTAGCTATGGTTTTTTGATTTTTATTTTGGGTACTGTCAGAGCACTCTAACACTAAAGGAAGAATATAGATTAAGAATAGTTCTTGTGGTAAAAAAAAAGCAAGTTAAAGCATGACAATCGTCCTGTGATGCGAACCTATTTCAGGATTAAGTCAGAGTATCGGATATCACGGGACCCAAAAAATCTCATCTACATTCTGGATTTGTGAATGGTTTACAATCGAGATATAGTAATTAGTTGCAATTATTGTCGCAGATTAAAATGAAATCAGATTAGAATGAAATGGAGGACCTCTCTTGCTCCTCTTTAAGGCTTATAAACCCCACTTATACTCTTTTTTTAATAAACCTATCACTAAACCCTAACCCTACCCTAACCCTAACTCTAAAAAACGTCTCCCAAAATTTTTTAAATTGTCCCTAAAAAATATTAAAATTTCATTTTAATCTAATTTCATTTTAATCTGTCACAATTATTATATAATTTTTATCTTTATGCCTGGCATGGGCTATAATAGTGTGTCATAGCTACTTTTTTTTTTTTTGCTTTTTTCATTTTTATTCATTTATATTAGACTATTAAAAAATTTTAGTTTAGTTTTTGTTTTTTTTATCACCATGAGGCGTTTTTTTTTCTAAAATATTTATATCTTTCGTAAACATAGCTTTATATTTTTATTTTTATATACGAATAAGGGTTTTATTTGTATTGTCGAGCTTAGGTAGAAGAAGTCTGAAAGAAGAGAAGGTAATCATAATGGGCGACAAGGTCCACTATTGAGAGCCGGGTCATATCCAATTGCAGGAGAGGTCCAGAAGGAAGGAAATCTTGCTATAGCAGGTCAAACATAGGTACCAATTAGGATAACCGGTTAGTTTTAACTTGTAATTTAAGTAATATTAGGTTTAATGCTACGGCGCTTGTCATTAAGAGATAGTTCTCATATGCTATCTGCCAACAAGTTAAGAGTTTATCACTTTCTAAATACAACTTAGTATAAAATTTTACTAGTCTAGAAGATTCGTACAAAGCCTAATAAAGTTAAAACATAACTGCCAAATTTTTTTTTAAAAAAAAAAAAAAAAATTATATTATAAATTGAGAGGTGTAGTGACTGAGTTTACCATAAAATCTCAAAAGACAAATTCTCGAAAAGACCTAATACTGACAAAGTTAGCCGGCATTAGTTATAATTTTGGCCAATTTAGTCGGTATTATGTTCTTTCAGGAAAATGGTTTTCGAGATTTTGTAGTAAACTTGTAGCGACTTAGTATAGTAGTCTAGTTGTCACCCTCTCCAAGTGGCAGGTCTAGAGTTCAAATCCCACTAGCGATAATATTTGAAAAATGAGTCTGTGTTTAGTTGATGGCTATGCTTATCAGTTGGATTTAATCTGTAACTTCGGTCACACCATTTAGTAATGGGAGCTTTGGTACAATAAATCTGAGAAACCAGCATAACTAAAAACCCATTTGGCAAGTCCTGAATTTGGAGGTAGCAGTGATCTTCAACAGTACCACAGGAGGGCTGAATTCGAACTGGGGCCCGAGATTGGAGAACTAAGCAACCAGGTCCGCTGGCAAAAAACACACTAGCCAAATTGCCGGGTTGTCACACTAGAGAAAAAAAGCATACACTTTAAAAGTATAAACCAAAAGGAGGACATCCTTTAGGCACTTAAAGCCTAGACAAACCAGCTCTTCCAGGTTGTCGGCTGGAAGTAAAAGAGGGACTGATAAAGAATCCGAATAAGAAGACGGTCCAAATGCAGGTATCAGGGTTATTGTAAACTGAATAAGGGTAGTAAGTACATAATGGATACCTGATTAGGAAGGTTGGTGCTTGAGAAATATCTGTAGAATAGCAGCACCCCAAAAGGTGGCGTAAGATATATATATGGAATAGCAGACCAATATGTACTACCATAGAGCACTGCATAAAGTACTTCCAAAAAATAGTATCCCCCTTGATTAAGACCCGAATATTATTCACCATACATAAAAACTGGACTATGGTTAGTACCCGGGTACTTTTCAAAGTTGGAACTTACGAAACTTGATTAGTACCCAGGTATTTTTCAAAGTTAGGACTTATGGACATTGATTAGTACCCGGGTACTACTGTACTAATAAAAATAAAATAAAAGTAATTCAACTATAAAAAAATACCAGTATTCTAAAGAATATTTACTATGCGCAGTAACTAATAATAACATATTAAATATTCTAATTGTGATTTATATCTATATACTATTTTGTCGTATCCATGTCCTTAGGGATAGCAAATGTTTTAAAAAGTGATCTTAAACATGTTTGATTTAAAACTGTTGAAAATTGTTTTAATACATTATAACGTAATATGATTCGAACATGATCCGAATTGTATTATAATTATTAATAAATTAATCGATATTCAAAAAATAAATTAATCGATATTCAAAAAAATAAATTAATCGATATTCAAAAAAAAAAAAAAATTAAACGATATTAAAAAAATAAATTAAATAAAAAAATTTTCAAAAATGTCTTATATTCGCGAAAAACCCCTAAAAGAAATCTGTTTGAACTTTACAAAGTTGCTGAACCCGATAAACATGGCCGAAAAACACCTCGCCAAAAAATGCAATTATTGCGAAGAAGACTAGGTTGATTCAGTTGACTGATTAAAAGGCATTTATTAAATGTAAAAAACTTCCAAGAATATAAGAGATTCATTAAAAATTCTGGATCAGAATTCTGGATGTGGATAGTATATTAGCAAGGTTTTTTTATTCGGCTGGTATTTCTTTTACGGCTGTTAAAAATCCTTTTTGGGAAGAATTTATAGAAGCCTACAACATTATATTAAAACTGTACACCCATTTTATATTAGTTTCAAGGTAAATAAATTGCTAGATTCAGAATATTAGGTTGAATGGCAAAATTTGGATACTATTCTAACGAATCTAAAACTAGTACATAATGAAAGTTGTATTTGCCGATAGGCAATTATACATTTAAAATGTATTTGCTGATAAATATATAGAACGTTGAAGAATGTTACTCAACCTAAAAAATAAACTAATTATTTGTAGTTTACTAAAATCATAATAATATCACGATTATTATAAGTGTAATAAATTTCAAATACCCTTTTTTTTTTAAGCTCTAACAATTTTAAGATCTATTTATTTATTCTTTTTTTTATTCAAATTTTTAAAATGTATTGATATGAGAATATTGATATTAATATATATGCCCGAGGTTCAAATAAATGGACAAAACGATCTTATAAAAAGGTCTGATAAAATAATAAAATATTTTAATTCATTTCATTTCTTATCAATAATGACTAAATTACAATATTTACTCACACTAGTCCCAAATATTAATATAATTTTCCTCTTCATTTTCATAATATTCATTCTCTGGATCACTTTCAATATCTTCCGGAAATGATTCACTATTTTCTTCTTCCTCTTCAATGCCAATTCGTACACCTTTTACACCTGGAACTCTCTCAAAATCAAAAATCAAATTATCTTTAGAGCCATCAATTACTGTAGAAGCACCACAACACTTGAAAGACCTTTGTATTATTGCAGCATCAATATCATCTCATGCTTCTTTGATCCAGGTTGCTACTGTTGAGTATGATAGTCATTTAATTTTTCCAGCTGGTGTATATTCCTTTACTGCTTCATCCATCCATTGATTATATATATGGCGGACCTATATTAAAACAGTAAAATTAAAAAATTTTTCTACACTATGTTTTAATTAATATGCAACACTAAACTAACCCTTGCTTTAAATGCTTTGTTCAAAGATACATCTAATGGTTGCAAGCGTGAAGTTAGCCCACCCGGAATCACAGCCATATCTGTATTCCTCTCACGAAAGCGATGCTTTACAGGATCTGTTCTATGAGCAGTAAATGCATCAAGAACAAGAAGCAAACGTGGATTTGACCCTAAATTAGCTTGTCGACACCACATATTTTCCACCCACCAAATCATTTCTTTTTCATCTATCCAACCACTTGGATTTGCACGAACATATACACCATCGGGAAACTGCTCTCGTGGTACATTAACTAACTTAAAATAATAAGTGGAGGAAGTTTGGTACTATCTGCAAGGCAGGCAAGTGTTACAGTAAAACTAGTGTGTTTATGACCCGTGGTAAGAACAGAGATGGTTCATTTTTCACATTCTTCAACAGTTGTTTGACCTGGTAGACTAAATGACATTGGAGTTTCATCCATATTGCCAATTAAATTTAAAGGGTAATTATGTTGAGTTCGACGATAAAGAATATATGCCAAAAAATTTTGTTGTAGTTCATTATATTCTTCAGGTAACTTTTGAGCAGTTGTAGTGTGTCAACAGTTTACTAATCTATGACGTGACATAAATCCATCCACCCACTTCTGTGTAAATCGACATTCAAGAACATCAGGATACAGAGTACGATATTCTTGTCTTCTAGCCAAATTACGGGCTTTTGCACTAATCATAAATCTGGTTACGGTTTTAAGTTGTCCTCGTAACCCATGAAACCACTCTAAAAGTTCCTTTTCTAATTGTGGATATTTAGGCCTTGCACTAGTGTTAAGTCGTCGAACATACGGTGCTGCACTCATTAAATCATTTTTTTTCTTTTTCTACTCACAAACTTGCTTAGGCTCAATTTCAAATCTATCTGCTGTTGCCCGAATACTATGCCTACTTTCTTGATAAAATATGACCATCAACTTTTTACGAACATTCCATTGCCGACGTTTTTTTTGTGTATGAGTTGCTCATTTTGCGCTAAAATTTCCTTTTGGCATTTTAAGAATACTGAGTTGTCTGATTTAAAAATTTTTGTGTTTTTTTTTTTAAATGTTCGCGAAACAGATCTAGGGGTACAAAATCTGCTTCAATGTCATACAAATTATTCAAGGGGCATCTCGGTTTTCACCTTCTATGTCTCTATTTATTCTAATTTAGGCTAAGCATTTAGGATAGTATACTATTTTAGTAGATTTGGGTCCTTATTGTTCAATATAGAAGCAACTAGGAGTCCTATAAGCAATTCTTTTTAATATCACTATAAAAAAAAGTCTTCGTTCAGTAAACATCTCTAAAACAATAACCCTAAAGCAATAAGTATTAGTTATTTTGTAAAATTCTGACCTAATAAAACTTTCAAATGACACTTGATTTTATAAATATTATCTTCTGAAACATTTCATCATACTTATTAGATAATCTTAAACCTGAAATTCGATTTCAGTGAATTATTCAAGTTTGCAAGTGCTTGTTCATAACTTTTCATTATGCGATAAGTTTGATCTACCAATAATAGTTCAAGAAAAAAGTTTATTATATATTGCTTTTCTTATAGCTTACAACGCCTCTCATATCTAACATAAAACTCTTACTTTTTAGTTTCTAATTTTATTTATTTTTCATTTTATTTTTTTTAAAATTAATTATTTGTCTTTTTTTATTTTTTTATTTTTTTTATTTTAATTTTTATTTATTTATTTATTTTATACGTATATATTTATTTAATAGAGAATCCGTTTTGTTAAAAATTTACAGCCCTTTATTTTCATGGATAGGCATTAATCCATTTAATTCCAACTCAACGAATAGCACTCTTTAGTTAATTCTACAATAAATAGCATAGATAAGTCGGGGGTTTAAATTACTTATTTTCAGTTCACTAATACCACTAACCACGCTTTTTTATTATTTAAATCATAGTTCAATAAATACATACGTAATATTTTCCGTTATAGTGTTTGTCGTAAGAGAATAATCACTTAAATTTTTAGGAAGAGAATTAATTTATTATTTTCGATCTCTCTTATATACAATTTTACTTCATATCGATACTGCTGTACTGCGTACATACGTATATACGTACGACGTAATACATTATTAGTTATCATATAATTATGCAAAAAGGCCCTGCATATGATAAACTCTACCACCAATAAGTATCGTTACTTACATTGTATTACCCACACATTACTGTTTTTTTCGTGAAGTTTGCTTTTAAAAGTAACTTATACAATACCCCGCATACAATACCCCCGCATGCATACAATACCTCCCGTACACAATACCCCCACATACAATACCCTCCCACATAGTGTATCCCCCTAAAATAGTACCCAGTTCCTAACACAGTACCCCCAGGTACTAATCAATTTAAAAAACGATGTTTTTGAATAAGACCCCAGGTACTTTATGCAGTGCTCTACGGTAATTAGAAAGAAGTTATAGAAACATGCAGATGAATATATGTGTAGGATATGTACTGCTGAGTTAGATTTATCTCAAAGATAGACTAGTATAAGTTAGTAAGTCCTAAGATAGAGTGCAAAATCCAAATCAGATAGAAGCAAAATCCATATATGAATGATGGGTAATATTCACAGGTTAGAGGGCTGATAATGGTAGTTAGAACCAGATGGTTTAAATGGGTACCCTCTATAGTTGGGTGCAGGTATAGCAAATAGTGTAGAACCCTTAATATAGCACTAACATTTAGAGCAGACCACTTAAATTAGGCACCAAAAGTGCATGTGTGGCTTGATGTACCATCATTGTAATTACATTATAAAACATCGTCTATACTCTAATAAAAAGTTCCCAGGCCAATGAGATCACCTTAATACCAAAAAAAAAACAAAAAAATGAAATTAGATTAAAATGAAATTTTAATATTTTTTAGGGATGATTTAAAAAATTTTGGGGACATTTTTTAGGGTTAGAGTTAGAGTTTAGTGTTAGGTTTATTAAAAAAAAGTATAAGTGGGTTTTATAAGCTTTAAAGAGAAGTGAGAGAGGTCACTGTTTTATTTTAATCTTATTTTATTTTAATCTGCGACAATTAATATTAAAAGTAGCATTAATATTTGAAAAGTAAAGTATAACAATAGCAATTATATATGGTAGATATAAGAAACACATATCAGTTTATATATATTATTTGTAATAAATTTAGCTTTTTGTTACTTTATTTTTTGTATTAAGGCTATAAACTACTTGACATAAATAATTGTTGCAAATTATAATGAAATTAGATTAAAATAAAACTAGAAACCTTTCTTGCTTATCTTGAAAGCTTATAAAACTCAATTATACTTTTTTATTAATAAAACTAACTCTAACCCTAAAAAATATTTTCAAAAAAATTTAAATTTTTTTAAAAAAAATAGAAAAATTTTATTTTTATTTTAATTTATAACAATTATATTTAAACTACATAGCTAAAGGCCACGTGGTCTGGATATAAACCTGTGTAAAATAATTATATTAGACTTCAATTCAAGAAGATAAAACTTACTATTGTTATTCTAAATTGAAAAACTACTTATAAAAATTAGTTATAAAGGAAATCTTTTCTTTAGAAAGATTGCCCTAATGAAACAATCCAAAACTATACCAATCAAACTACACAAAACCTTAAACACATTCTTCCCAAAATTCCTTTAATTACTTGTCAAAATCATCTCAACCTTATATGGAACCAAATCTCTAAAGCCTTAATTAAAGCAGCTAGTAAACACATTCCCTTCAAAAAAATTAAAACAATTAAAGAAAT